GGTTTATTGTTTATATTTCATACGAATTGTCTTTTGTGTTAAACCAGTAATATTTGAAACGTTGGTAAGTTTCGACCAATATTAATGGTTTATCAGAAAATAAAAATTGTATAAAATACAATTGGATTAGAGCTAAATGTTATTAATTTATTCCAATAATTTTTGCACAAGTAAATGCCATACGAAATTAAAGAATTATGAGATTATTGTTACTATTCTTTGATCACTTAATGACCTATAACAACGAGTCATGAGGCCCAGAGGCTGAAACCTGTTGCGGCCCACAATGTCAATAAAGTATTCGCTACTTTAAGAAAGAACATTATGAATATTAGGACTGAAATTACCCCATTAAAGGCAATAATCTTTCCGCTAGGCACCACCCCTTGAATCTTAAAGAGCTTTCGGTTGCACGACGACGGTAGGACGTAGAACGTAATGGCGTCTCTAAAAGTCATCTGCGCATGTCAGAACATTAAGGTCACCTAGTCGAGTAGATTCCGGAACGCAATTTTCCAAATCTACGTATGCAGAACACGCGCGTATTTCTTGCACTGTTCTGATTGGTCAGTTGCTAAGTTTGACTCTCCAGATAGGTCCATTTTATTGACTATATAGACCATAGAATCAAACATATATATTTTTACATACAGTACTTCCCATTGGGACTAGGGGCCCTGCGGATGCGCCTCCCGAGTTCCCATATGCGTTACGCCACTGTTGACATCCGTATGATAAACCACACTAAGCATTATAAGTTCGGATGTGCTTGGATTGACCCATAAAACAGTAGTAAGAATAAATGCAAAACTTTGGTTTACCAACTTAAAGCTAGGTTTCCATACAATGGCTACACAATCGCCGACGCAATCGGGAGCGCGCCCTGATTCAACTGACCAATCAGCGTTCCCAAATGAGTCTGCGATAGCGTGTAGCGATTATTCATGGAAACCGAGCTGATAAATTTCAACAAGGAACAGTGTAGTTTTTGCTAATTTACAGACATTTTACTACAAAAAGTGCATTGATTTTCTGGGTCATCATGAATCAGCTCATATTGTTTGCTTCACTGAAAGAAGGATTATTATTGATTTTTACCTTGAGTATCATTGCATTTTCCCACGATCTAAGTAAACAGCTTCGTGCCCTTGAGAGATCCAAGCACATTATCTTTTGTCATGTGTTTTCATTTGGCCTACTGACTTTTCTTTTGTCCTTTGTTATGTGTTTGCTGGGCACTGTAAGAGAAGTGAGGGGAAATAGTTTCAGAACAGACACATGGAGACCGACTCCAGGCAAAAATCAGTTGGACGACCAACCAAAACCTATGTGGATATGCTTCATCAAGACACCGTCTTTACCACCAGTCAGATGGTGCATGATGCATGCAAGACAGAAGATTGTGGAGGGTCATCATTAGAGTCCGTCAGCAGACGATGGAGTGAGTGAGTGAGTGAGTGGGTTATGTTTTTTCATAGGGCCTTACTACATCGTTCTTGGTGCCCCGTTACGGGCTAGAGAAAGGCGCGATATTTTATTTTATTTTTTTTTTACTTTTAGGGGTTGGAATTGCCATTTACTGGGTTAAGGCGTAGGCGTTATTTTTCTGTTACAATCCCTACGTGCTATTGCCGACAGCTTTCTGTGATGCTGATTGGTCTGTCAAATCGGGGAGCCTTCTTGATTGCATCGGGGAATGCTATGCAGTACAACGATTGCACTGAAACACTAGCTTGTTACCCAGTGGCGTAGCTGGGGCAGTGCAGCCAGTGCAAAAGATGGGCCCCAGGGCAATTACGGGTCCATCCATCAGTAGGCCTGAAAATTATAATTAAATATAATTTAATATGCTTGAAGAAAAAAAAAACGGCCACTGGGCTTCTTAATAATATATAGGAGTTTTAGAAAAATAACTATTGATCCTGTGTTCATTTTTAATTCAGTGGTAATGTCAAAGTCTCGGGGTACCCCTAATGTTTTCAAAATTACGAAAACATGGGGAAAAATTATATTAAAATTTAAGTCTGAAAGTTCTATTTCCGGCCATCTGGACTGGTGTCATAATCATAAATTTTCTCACATCAGCCTCACCCTCCATCTGTGGCAGCCCCTCCATAGGCCTCTCAATTTTGAATTCCTGGATCATCGCCACACTGCAATTGTTATTGCCACCAATTTTCTTGATTACTGTATTTAGAATAGCTGCTGAGACCGCATAAGTCCCCTCCTGAAAACCTTTGTGAAGGTTCTGATTATAAAATAATAATAAAATAATATGTCGTTCTTATATAGCGCTTCATGCCTTTACAAGGCCTCTAAGCGCTTCACATTACTACCCCGGTCATTATCAGTAGTGTTTACTGTATTAGCCTATTAGCCTTGTCAATTAGGCGTAGGGGGTAACACAAATGGCGGATGCAAGGTTGAGAAAAGGAAATATCAATTAAATTAAGGTGTGAAAGTGCCATTTCTAGTCACCTGAGGTATCATAATCATGAATGTTCTTACCTACCTTAGCCACAACCATAGTGGGGCTGAGGTGGTTTAGACGTACCCGCCTACCCTCCACCTATTTTTTGAATCCCTGGATTCGTCACTGAAAACGAAGCACTTATTACAATGAATTTTCTGAAAACGTGATTCAGTATACCAAGCTCTAGAATTTTCATTATTTAAAAATCAAAATACGGCTCCTGAAAATTGAAACAGTCGGAGCTACTAGGGGTTCCCTATCCCCAGAGGAAATTGACGATCCCAACCCCCACCACTAGCCATAACTCAGGCCTACATACAGCGGCCATGGTTGCAAATCCTGGAGGACGGGAGACACGTCCCCCACATATTTTTAATAGGGGTTGGCCCCCCACTAATCTTCTATTACAGCAAGATACCGGTGTCACTAACGTATGAATTACCTATAATACACGACTAAAATGCACATGCCTTTGTTATAATTTGAGAAGCATGAGAAAAAGTATAAGATTTTCGGCACACGAAGCAGGTAAAGTAAATACATCAAAGACAATAACTTTTATTGTGGTACAATACAGATTAATTAGATCTCTATGGTAGCCGAAAATCGCTGATAAAAGTACGGTATTATTCCCTCAAATTTTTTGCACCAGAGCCCTAACCATGTTGATGGGGCTGAGGTGGGTATGGTCTCACGAAATGTAACCCCCGCCCCCCACTTTCAAGACAGATCTGCGCCCTTGACAGGAACGCTTCATCAATGTGCCCTGCAATTAATCTTACACTGGGGCTACGCCACTGCCTGTAGCGACAGTGTATCGAATTTTCAACATTTCAACAAATGATTCAATGGCCCAGTTGGTTAAGGCAATGAACTCGCACAGACATACCACGTACGCCCACAAACATACAACATACTCGCACAAACGTACAACGTTCGCACTAACGAACAACTTTGTCTATTTTCGGTGTTTAACCCTCACCAAAATTGAACGGTTCTTGATATACGGAGCTTGTTGTCTGTTTCTGCTAGAGTACGTTGTAAGTTTGTGTTTTCTCTGTTCTTTTTTCTTTTCTTTTCTGTTTGTCTGTGTAAGTTGTGCGAACGTTGTACGTTTGTGCGAGTACGTTGTATGTTTCTTTGAGTACGTTGAATGTTTGTGGGAGTTCGTTGTCTATTTCCCTGAGTACGTTGTATGTTTGTGCCAGTACATTGTCTATTTCTGTGAGTACGGTACGTTGTACGTTTACAAATTGTATTGTTGGTGGTGGGTATTGCTTTCCATACATTTCTTATATTATTAGCTTATCAGTATAATAAAACCTAAAGTGGTTAACTTGTGATTAAATCAACCGACAAATACATTTTAAATGTTCTTGTAATTATACTAAATATTTCACACGTATACAGAGAGACATATGCCTATTACAGTAATTGTAAAAGGCTACACAGATTTCTGACCATCATAAGAATTACAGTACTATGTAGGCCTTTCAAGGGCAGTATTCAAGAAATGGACAGAGGAAAATTAAATTACAAAAAATAGCCTGAAATGAATAAAACACAAGCAACCTAAAGTTGCAAAAAAAAAAACATAAAAGTTGCAAAAAAAACATAAACAAAAATATGATGATCATTTCGTCACCGGCACAATGTTTTTTTTTTTGACATTTCGATTATGTAATTTTTTTTTATTCGAAATTTTTAGAGAGTGACTACTGGTGAACCTAAAGGAAAATGGACACAAGACCACTAACATCGATGCATATAATTATATGAAGCAAAGAGTCAGACAGCCCAGATGCAGTGATGATAAACAATAAACACATTAAAGTAAAGCGGTGGGGATGAGGGGCACAAGTCATTAAATACATTCAACATATATAATAAGCTAAAAAATAAAATTATTTAACAGATTTGATTACCCTCTGGCGTGCCTAACTTTGTCTTTACCTTCGTGTTCGTGGCCCTCTATTTCAATGGCAGTGCGATTGATTACCAGATATAATCCTAGAGGGACGTTGACAGACGGAGGGTCTATATCACCTCACCCCCACCTTGTTTGGGGCTGAAGTAAAAAAAAATACGATTATGGCACCTCTTTGGTGGCCAGAATTGGCACTCTTAGACTTAATCCTGCCTACGGACCTGGTTCTATCAGAATTCGTTTTTTAATTAAAGATATTCGTTTTACGAAATACTATTTTCGT